TCCCAGTTCTGTATCCCGTGTGACGTCACCTTGTGTCAGATGTGCATCAGGACCTCTGATGATCATAAAAAGCATGACGTTAGAGATGTTGAGAAATTATTCAGAGAAATTCACAAGAAAAAAGGTTTGTAATGATGCAGAATGTTTTATTTGAAAAATCTAGACATTCATTTTTGAGAGTTTACCTTTCCATTAGATCAGTTGAGTAGTATACATGTAACTCTATAGCTTTCTATTTTTTTCTGTGTGTGTACATTATATAAATGGTGCCTGTTTTGTAGGGTAACATTTGAAATTGACACCCCAAGGAAAACCATTGTCAACCGACGCGTCAGCGGAGGTTGACAATGGTTTTCTGAGGGGTGTCGATTTCAAATATTACCCTCCAAAACAGGCACCATTTATTTTATTATACTGAATGTCTTATTGATTAAGGATGTCAGCAAAAAAAAAACCGTCGATCGTCTTTACGTTCATGTATAGAAAGATTTCACACTCACCGGTTCACTAATCTCCTTGTTGTTTGTTTGATACTTGAATTAGAGTCATTTATCATATAAAGCTTCATTATTTCTGGCTCGCAAGCATGTTTCCTACACTCGCAAGCATGTATTGTCTGTCGTTTGTTGTTTTCAAGTAAGCTTTATCGGACGCAAGCTTTTATTGACGTCAAGTTAATTCCGGTTCTTTCAAACGCGCAACTGACGTTTTGAAAATTCTACGGTGAACCGTACGCGCATAATTTCCACGCATGTGGCATTACCGTTGTGTTACCCGTTGTCACGTGTGTTGCCAAGGCTCAGGGTAATCGAACGGATTGTTAACTGCATCTAAACCAATCAGATTTTAGTATTTAACATGAAAGTATAATAATATATAAATGAATGGTTTTCCGAGGGGTGTCAATTTCAAATGTTACCCTCCAAAACAGGCACCATTTATTTTATTATACTGAATGTCTTATTGATTAAGGACGTCAGCAAAAAAAACCGTCCATCGTCTTTACGTTCATGTATAGAAAGATTTCACACTCACCGGTTCACTAATCTCCTTATTGTTTGTTTGATACTTGAATTAGAGTCATTTATCATATATAAAGCTTCATTATTTCTGGCTCGCAAGCATGTTTCCTACACTCGCAAGCATGTATAGTCTGTGCTTTATTGTGTGCCGGTCATATTTTGTTACCTTATTCTCTGAAATTTTAGCCAATTTGGGGAAGCCCATGGTGAAGTAGTAGAGCATCTGCTCTAGAGTCACAGAGTGAGGAGTTGATCCCTAATAAGTCAAAAAAAAAATATGGATACATTCTAAATTAGTGTAAATGTCAGTTTTTAGTTCCTCTGAGCCAAAGGCTCAAAGAGCTAATGCTATGGCCATTGGTGCAGTGTGCGTTAACTTTTTAGAAAATGGGCCATAACTCAAGAACCCCTCGGAAATCAGTGTCAAATTTGTCACAGGGTATCCTTGGCCCAAGGGCTACCATTTATACTAAAATAAGGGTTGGGACTCTTAAACAAGGGAAGATAATCAGGAAAACAAAACCAAAAGTACTGGTTGCTAAAAAATCTTATTCTCCATAACCACCAGGCAGATTTTCATCAAACTTAAACACAAGGATCAATATATGTTGAAGATTGAAATTTACACGGGGAATTACCCTGGGGCAAAGGACGTGGTCTCAAGGTCACTTCAAAGTTGACCTAAATTAGAATTAATAAAAACATTTATATTTTGCTTACTATAAGGACTAGGATCATCAAATCTTGTAAGTTGATGCATCTTAGGACTCCACATCATGTTAAATCAAAAGTAGGTAACGGTGACCTACTTTTCAAATTTTGCGGGCATTTGTTTTCAAATTGATTTGAAGGCTTATTTTGGACACTTTAAAGTCTATGATCATCAAACTTTGTCAGTTGATGCATCTTGGGTCCTTAAACAATGTCAACTTTAAAGTAGGTCACCGTGACCTACTCTTTGAACTTTATGACTAAACCTTTTTAAAACATTCAATCCCATTATTTCAGACACTGAGAGGTTTAGAATCATCAAATCTTGTAAGTTGATGCATCTTGGGACCTTAAAACATATTAATGAAAAAGTAGATCACTTTGACCTACTTTTTAAATTTTACGGGCATTTGTTTTCAAATTGAATTGAAGGCATATTTTGAAGACTTTAAGGCCTATGATCATCAAATTTTGTCAGTTGATGCATCTTGGGTCCTTAAACAACGTCAACTTAAAAGTAGGTCACTGTGACCTACTTTTTGAACTTTATAACTAATCCTTTTTTAAACATTAAATCCCATTATTTCAGACACTGAGAGGTTTAGAATCATCAAATATTGTAAGATGATGCATCTTGGGACATTAAAACATATTTGTGACAACGTCTGGCAAAATGGGACCAGATGCGGCGATGACAAAACAGAAAAAAACGTCACAAACACAGCGAGTTTTGCGGAGTAGTTTTGTTTTGTTTTTTTCCCCACACATGCTTTTCCTGTTTTTGTTTGTTGGTTCATTACATTATATCTGACATGTCTTATTTCAGGTAAACTGGTGTTTTCAAAATTAAATCTACTATTTCCACATCTTCAATTATGTATATACATCCGAGTTAAATTAAAAACATATCGACATTATCGTTAAATTCAAACGGATATTATTCAACAAACCCTGAGTACCCGGACGATCGAAATCGAACGGGAAAGTCCATTGTTTTAATTCCGAATCAAGAAGGATAAATGTACCTTTGAATATAATATGTTATCGGTATGCTAGTTGTACAATGAATGTGGTGTCAAAATAAAAATGTTACATCCACTCCACACCTATCTAAGCTAGAGTCTATTAATAAACTATCGCGTCGTCCATAGTAACAGAAATAAACAGTAGAAAGTTTATCGTGTGCGAGAAATATAAACAATGCAATGAGTCAAGACAGTCAATGTAGTTCTGTTCCTTCGGAATTAACGGACTATCAAGATGAAGATTTCATCAACGAACTTCATATGGTTGATGTTATGTATTTTGGTGCACCAGACGAGTCATTTAATTACGATTCCGAGGATGATATTGACAGTGAAAACGTAACTGTAAACTATGACTCTGACGCAAGTTCAGGATCAGATGAATCAGAATCAGTTATAAACATTGAACCATCGGAAGTGGATACCATTGAGTACATCAAGCAAGCACAGTTTAGAAATGAAACATTTGGCTGTAAAGAGTTTTAAGGACAACCCTGTAGTACAACAATAGACTTTGATTCTCTAGTGGAATATAGGGAATCATGTAAGGAACTTTCAAGGGAAGAGTTGGACATCGTTGTGAAATCTCAATTATTTGCGCATCGTAGATCTGGTACACACACTGAAGCAAAAAAACACAAAGTCAAAAAAAGAGAACATCCTTTTCAGGAATTTTATTTCCATGGTAAACGTGTATGCAGAAAAACATTTTGTTTTTTGCATTGCATTGAAAAAAAGAAAATGCTGGCCATTGCCAAATCTCTTGATACAGACGGGTTGACTCCAAGAGTTCACGGAAGAGTAGGTAAAGCTCCTTCTCACAGTTGGACATACACAGACAGAGAAAGAATCAAAGTATTTTTGTGTCAGTATGCAAGAGATAATGCCTTCCTTTACCAGATAGGCTACCCAACTATAGAGATGCAAGAGTTTTACTGCTGCCTTCGGATAAGACAAAAGAAGACATATTCAAAATATATGTTAAAGTTGCAGAGGAATTCCATCATAAGACGATAAGTCTAAGACCCTTTCAGAGAGTGTGGGTAGAGTTATGTCCCCATATTGTCATAACAAAACCATGTACAGATCTTTGCCAAAAGTGTCAGGACTTTGCCAACCAAATTTCAAAGAGTGGTACTTTGACAGAAGAAGAAAAATCTTTGTTAATTGATTTCTACAACAATTATGTTCAGCTGGCAAAAATTTATTTTAACTAGCATTGTAAACATTTTTTTTCAACTTAGGTAACCCACCATTGTCAGTAAAAGGGACATTCCATTATTCTTGGGACTATGCTTAGCAAGTTCATATACCTCATCATGCTCAGCAAGTTGGACCAGAATATTTTAGGACACCACGCAAATGCAATGTTTTTGGCATGTGCTCTGAAGGATCAGGTAATTTGTTTAAAAAGTAATAAACCAGATTATCTATTGTTTTAAATACACTTTATAACACATATATGCAAGATAATATTAATATCATTACATATGTTGTGATGTTTGTAAATCATATATAAAATGCTTTAATTTATTTAAATTTATATAAATACTGTTCTTAAAGTGTTTTTTTTTTTATTTGCAGGAAGGCAGGTATTTTATCTGATTGATGAGGCAGACATGGTAGGCAAAGGAGCAAACAGTGTGGTCAGCATGGTTCATCATTATTTAACCTACCATGACCATGGTGAAGAGGATGGACTGTTTCACTTTGACAATTGCAGTGGACAGAACAAAAATAACACAGTTCTGATGTATGCATTGTGGAGAATCATGACAGGTACAATGTAAATTAACACTCTTCCTACAATATGTGGCTCAACAATCCTTTGTTATTCTGTATCAGGCTAAGTTACATTGGACAAAGCATAGGGGGTTGAAGTGCTACATCGTGAAGGTTGATTTCATATTTTTAAAAACTTTTTTCTGGGTTACATAAAAGCATCCAATATTCCATGATGATTGCAGGTCATACGAAGTTTGAACCTGATTGGCACTTTGGGGTGTGGACATTGAAATGGAGGAATTCTAATGTGGAGACTTTATCTGAAGTAAGCTGTTATTATGTAAAATATCATAAGTTGAAAAAATGTCTTATTCCTCATCATGTCTGTTGGTTAATCTCAGTTGAGATTATATGGACTAAAGCTGTCAGTACAAATAGCCAAGCAAACAATATCTCAACTGAAATTAATTTCTGTCGTAAACAATTAAACATTTTTATCACAGAAATAAAAAGAAATACATGATATATGTGCTTATATAGCGTCATATTTGACAAACATTTTGAAATACTTACCTTTAATCTAATAATGAAACTTATATGCATGATATATCTTTGTTTACCACGTATATAATAATACCTATATTCGAATTCAGGTTGCTGAGACTGTTGCACACTCCAGTAAGAATGGACACAACATTCCACAGCTCACAGATGATGCAGAAAAGCCTGTTGTATTCTATGACTGGAAAACATACCTGCAGCAGTTTTTTAAGCCATTAAAGAACTTGACAAAACACCATCATTTTGTAGTTCATTCAGACAAGCCTGGAAAAGTAGTTCAAGAGAGGATCTCTGGACACTCTATTTCTGTCAATTTATTGAAAAATAACATGCATCCAGTGAGTGGTCAACTGCCTGAAGCTATTCCAAGTCGAGGATTAGATCTGATCAGACAGTGGTATTTGTATGACAACATCCGGGAATTTTGTAATCAGATGTTGCTAAAGATGTTGTTTGCCCTAAACCAATCAAGCCAAAGCCTGAAATTAATTTAACAAACAAAGAGAACAGCAGGCCCATTTCCACAAAAAGGAAACAGTCTTTGCTAAAATAATTTGTTTGCTGACCTATAATGTGTAAAATTTTGAACATTTCGAACCTTGTGTATCTTCGAATCTTCAACTGCCTTGATTGCTTTTGCTATGTTGAAGGGGATTTAAACCTTTGCATGAAATGGAATCTTAAATAATTTGTCACAAAAGATGTATAATATATATATTTATTTTTTTATCCAGCATAATATTTTACCTTAATAAAAAGTAAATTTATATCAGTTGTCAGTTAATGTATCTTGGGTTTCCAAAAATCGTCTACTAAAAATTAGGTCGCAGTGACCTACTTTTGGCATTTTATGGCTATATTTAAGTATATTGAGTACTATTTGGCTTAGAATCATCAAACATTGTCAGTTGATGCATATTGGGTTTTCGGAGAATGTAGACAAAAAAGTAGGTCACAACTTAGAATCTTCAATCTTTGTCTATTTTAATGCATCTCTAGTCCTCAGAAAACTTCAATCTTAAAGTAGGTAGCTGTGACCTACTTATGTTTTTTTTGTATAGCTTTATTAAAATATCTTCAGTCCTAATTGGCTAGGAATCATCAAACTTTGTCAGTTGATGCAAGTTGGGTCTTATGATAATTAGGGGTAGAGGCTTCAAATACTGTATAGCAGGTTAAAATCGCGGTCGGAAAAGATCGTGATTTGTTTAATTTTCAGCAAATCGAGGTCGTTTTAATTCGCGGAAAAGGAAAAACCATAAATTTCTTAAACAGTACTTGCAAGCACTTTTTTGTAGGTATATATTGTGTGAACTGCTATTTCCCGTCTCTATAGTATATTACGAAAGTCTGTAATCATGTACATTATACGTATATCGCGCATATCAGACAGAAAAGTAGTCTAATATATTATGTCGATTTTGATCCTGATTGAATAATAAAGAAACACCGGACTGATCCCGATTTGAAGTCAAAATAATGCTACGCATTTAATTTTTTTTTATTTCCGGGTCCAAATCAGAAAAAAATTATACCGTAGTAAAAATGTTGAACTTTTATTCATATAATTGGAATTAATTAATTGTTGTTACCCTGTTTACTAAGTAAATGCCTTGATTAAAGGTAATGACTGAGTGATACGCACGGGTGAAATTAAACAAGCATGTTTTATTAAATAATTACATCGCACGTCTACTAGATGGCAAAATTAATCGTTAGCTATAGAAATGAATTAAACAATTAATAAGCTTTAAAAACAGCAACAACTACGTGTTTGTAATTGATCCAGACACTCGAATAATTATAAAGACATCTAATCACAGAAAATAATAAAAGAACTATATGCGGTATATTGAATATATTTGCCCCCCAAAAAGTCAAATTTTGAAAACTTCCTGAAATGTGCTGAATTCAATAAATTGAATGAGAAATATAAGGCCATAATTATAAATAAATTGCTAGATTCTCATCCGAATTTTTTCAAAAATCGAGGCGGGCGGGCGGCTTTTATTTTATATTTTTTATTTTTTCAATTTTGCAGATTTTTTATTGACCTGGTCAGTCGGTGTAATTTTATCAACAATACCCGAATAAAAGTCGTAGTAAAGGTTCAGTTATCTCTTACTTCACATCATCATCAATCTTTTTCAACCAAAGACTCTTTGTTTAAAATATATATGCATTTATTACAGCAATTACCATCTTTTCAGCTGTCATTAAATCATTCAATAAATAGATATGTATATGAATATATTTGCCCCCCAAAAAGAAATTTTGAAAACTTCATGTGCTGAATTCAAAAAATTGTATGAGAAATGTAAATAAACAGAAAATATTATAGTGTCAAAGCAGTGTATTCACAATTTTTGTTTTTATGACGTCACAAACTAGTCCGATTTTATATCCTTTTTCAGAAAGAGGACAAAATAGACAAAATTTCAACAATTTTAGCTTTAAAATTTATAGAGCGCATGTTTGTTCAGGAACAATATTGACATATTTCATTGATATTATGATTCTACATATTATATCAAAATATTGATCCTGAACACACATACGCTCGGTGACTTTTACTCAAAAAATCGACGAAATATGTACATTTTTCTGTAAAATTCATAAAAAACTGAATTTTACGTCATGTTTGTTACGTCATTACGTACATATGGCGTCATTACTTATGAAAATATCCAGTGATTTGAAGTCAGCATATACTCCCCTGTTTAAGAACTTAATTAAATATATCTCCATCAAAGTTTGATTTGGGGGGCAAATATTGGTTATTACCGAATAAAGTTCTTTCAGTTTATCCTTATAAAACTTTTTAAAGAATTATTCACTGTATGTTGAATTCGCGGAATTTCTTTTTCCGCGAATATAGCAAAAATTAACTCCGCGAGTTAATTTCCTGCTGTACAGTAGACGTGATAGATTGTACAATTTATCAGAAGAGCAATTCTAGGCCCTTGGGCCTCATGTTTTTCAACCCCTGCCTTTGGTGATGATCTGGATCACTTGTATCTGTTAACTTTCAATACTGAATTAATTCCTTCTGCTTTTTCTCTAGCCAAACACTACAGTGAGTGTTGTGGTTCATGGATCTCTTGTTTATTTGTAGATGGAGACGCAGTTTTGATGTGCCTTCTGCTTTGTCCTTCATACAAATTAATACTTGAAGAACAACACTGGATAAAGAAGTATAATGCTGTTGCTGAAGTTTTCAAATTCAAGAAGATTAAGAAGCCGTCTAATCTTAGCAGCTTAAAGAAGTACAAACCAATACTGAGACAGGATAGTGTGAATGTTGAGTTTTCTTGTGAATTCTTTAAGCACACCAGTTTTCTTAGATTCGCTAAAAATCCAAATTTTGTGGATATATTTCTGACCTCGGCAGAAAAAGACAACATTGCTGAGTACTGCAGGTCATGGGTTTATCCAAAGAAAGAGGGGGAAGTCTTTTGCTGGTTATCACCACAACAAACAACACAGTTGATAGAAAAACTTGGAGAGGATATTTTCATCCACCCAACATGGCAGGATACATCAATACATGAGGATGTATTTAAAAATTGTATGTCTTTGCTGGGTAGTTTTTATTTTCTTCCTGTGAAAATTGTATGTCCTTCCCTAAATATATACTGTGTAAAATGAAGGATAGGGAGATAACAAACAGTATTCAAAATCAAAGACCATGAAAACATTGTAAATATACGTAGATCAGCCCAATCAAAATTTGTAACCATCATATACTCATCAAATAATCAGTATAAAAATTAAATGGCATAATTTGATCTGTATTTTGATACTCGGATCCAAGATTCTATTTAAAGAATGTTTTAAGATTGAGTCATTGGTGTATAAATTACATAAACTAAATACAAATGCATATTTAAGGCTAATTGATAAACAAATATTGTCAATTTTTCCAAATAACTTTTGATAATGAAGAAAAAGTGCTTTCATATTTAATTTTGTGCATTGCCATCAACAAGATTTTTTCTGAGCTTGTTGCTATTTTTAGAGTCATTGGTGTATAAATCTACATAAACTAAATACAAATGCATATTTCAGGCTAATTGATAAACAAATATTGTCAATTTTTTTCAAAATAACAATTTTGGTTGATTTCAATATAACTTGGCACACAAGAAAAATTGCTGTTGATATTTCTGTGAATTTTGTGTATTGCCATCTGTGAAATTCTTTCAACAGTCTGATTTCAGTATAACTTTAGACTACAATAAGATACATAATTCTGTGTATCGGTTTTGATTTTTAACGGTGTTGCCGTGGTTACTAAAAATAGAAATTTCTGTGAAATTCTTTCAAAATGCTACTCCAAATACAATTGCACTAAGAACATAAAGAGACTTAATCAAGGATCATTATTCTATTTATTGCTGTTGAAAAGTTTCAATTTCCAACTGCTTAAGTACTTTTCTCTTCCTTTGCTGTAAGTACAAACCAGTAGAGCTTCAGTCTCGACAGAGACTTCTGGTTAACTTATGACCTTGACCTCCATGTTTGACCTACTTATCAATATTATTAACTTTGCTTATAAAAAGAATACTTAAGAAAAAGCAAGTGTGCATAAACTGCACCCGTTTGCAGTACAAACTAGTAGAACAGCGATACAATGATAGATGTTTTATTTTATTATAGTTGGTGTACCAATGCAGATTTTGATGAGAGGAGAAGAGTCAGTGAAGAATTTCATTGAAAATCTGAAGAAAGGGGAGACAACCATGTACCATGCCTCTGGGATGATCATTGGGTGTGCAGGTAGTGGGAAGTCAACCTTACTAGAAAGACTGAAGGGCATCAACCTGAAAGAAATCCTGGAAAGTTCAAAGTCAACACGAGGAATTGATGTCCAGGCTGACATATTTGATGTAACTGGAAAAACAATCAAGGGTATGACTTTTATGCGCCTGGATCGATAGATCTGAGGCGTATATTGTTTTTGTCCTGTCTGTTTGTCTGTTTATCTGTCTGTTTATCTGTTTGTCTGTCTGTCTGTTGTCAACTTTAACCTTCGCCTTAACTTTTGAACCGTGAGAGATAGAGACTTCATATTTAGTATGCATACTCCACCAATAAAGTTCTTTCAAATGACATCAAGGTCAATGACCTTGTGACCTTGACTGTGACCAATATGCTAAAAATAGCTTTTTCGAACTTTAGCCATAACTTTTGAACCAAGAGAGAGAGTTCATATTGGGTATGCATACTCTACCAATGAAGCTCTTTCAAATGACGTCAAGGTAAATGACCTTGTGACCTTTACTGTGACCTATATGCTAAAAATCGCTTTTTCGAACTACCACCATAACTTTTGAACTATGAGAGATAGAGACTTTATATTTGGTATGCATACTCTACTAATAAAGCTCTTTTGAATGTAACCAAGGTCATGACCTTGTGACATTGACTGACCTGTATGCTAAAAATAACTTTTTAGAACTTTTGCCATAACTTTTGAAGCATGATAGAGACTTCATATTTAGTATGCTAACTTCACTAATTAAGCTCTTTCAAATGACACCAAGGTCAATGACCTTGTGACCTTTACTGTAATCTATATGCTAAAAATGTTTTTTGAACTTTGTTGCCTTCGGGTGCATAGTGTTTCACAAACACATCTTGTTTTTTTTTATCAGATCAGATGAAGTTTTCCAAATAACGTGTTACAATCAAGACATGGTATAAGGCATGTGTTACAAGCACTCTCACTCAGAACATATAGAATGGTATGCCATGATTGTAACACATAGAATTGTTTGGTAAACTTTACAGTTACTCTGCAGAAAAAATACTGTAGGATCCATGTCCGGATTCTATTGAACAAGATGTGTTTGTGAAACACTATGTGCAACAAAGTTAGAAAACTCTACATTTAGCACATTGGTCACAGTCAAGGTCACAAGGTCATTGATTTTGCAGAACTAACTTGATTGGTGGATTATACATACCAAATATGAAGTCTCTATCTCCTAAGGATCAAAAGCTATGCTGAAGGTACAAAAAGGCTATTTTTTAGCATACAGGTCAAAGTAATTGCCCTTGTAGCCATTTGCAAGAACTTATTTAGTGGAGTTTACATTCAAAATATATGCAGTTTCCATCTCCTATGGTTCAAAAGCTATGGCAAAGGTACAAAAAGGCTATTTTTAGCATACATGTCACAGACAAGGTCACAGTCATTAACCTTGATGACATTTGAAAGAACTTATTTAATGGAGTTTGCATGCCAAATATGCAGTTTCTGTCTCCTATGGTTCAAAAGATATGGCCAAGGCACAAAAAGGCGGTTTTAGTACAGTGTATATAGGTCAGTTTCAAGGTCACAATGTCATTGACCTTAGTGTTATTTTAAAGAACTTAATAAGTGGAGTATGCATAATAAATTTATCTTTCATGGTTCAAAAGTTATGAGGAATGTTCCAAAAAGATATTTTAGCATATAGTTTACAGTCAAGGTCACAAGGTCATTGACTTTTGTGTCATTCGAAAGAACTTAAATAGTGGAGTAGACATACCAAATATGAGGTCTCTATCTTCATGGTTCAAAAATCTATTTTTAGCATATAGGTCACAGTCAAGGTCATCTGAAAGAGCTTAATTAGTGAAGTATGCATACCAAATATGAAGTCTTTATCTTTCATGGTTCAAAAGTTATGGAGAAGGGTAAAGGTTGCAGACAAACAGACAGACAGATAGAATAAAACAATATTCATCCCAAATCTGTCAATCCGAGTGCATAAAAAAATTTAGAAGAGTTCAAGACTAAGCTAAAAATTGGCTTATTCTCATAAAAGACCAGAAGGTCAAATGTAAGCAAAAAATAAAAGAAAGATGTGTTATTTTTCCAAGCTTTTTAGGTCACCTGAGTAAACTCAGATGACCAATTGTTATCCGTTTTTGTCCATCGTCGTGCATTGTGCAATAACATTTGAACATTTTCAGCTTCTTCTCTGCAACCACTGAACCAATTTCAACCAAACTTGGCACAAAGCATCTGTTGGTGAAGGGAAACAAAGACTGTGAATGTCATGATCTTTAAAAATTTTCTTCTTTACTCCTGGACATCAAGCAGTCAAACTGTTTGCATGATTGTAATCAGCATTGCGTCCTCTACCAAAATAGTGAAATTCATGGCCCTGGGGTCAGGGGTTCTAGTGCTAGTGCGGGGCTAAATAAGTATATAGTGAAAATGCATACTGTAAACCAACTTTTATTCGCGACGACTTTATTTCGCGATTTGCCGGAGGTAATCCAGTTCGCGACGATTAATTTTCGCGATGAAGCCTATTTAGGTTTCTTTTTAATAGACACATATACTTTAAAAATTGGTTCGCGGCGAGAAATATTCGCGATGACGATTTCTTAAAAGTTGGTTTACAGTAATTTCTTTGAAATTGTCTTCTCTGCTCCTGGCGACTGTTTCACTAACAAGTCGTAGCTCGTAAACATAGGCGTAAACTTGAATGTAGCACGTAAGTGCGTTTCACTAAGAGTTACGATTTGTGAGTTACGATTAAACTTGATTGTAACTCTACGAGCAGTCAGAGGTACTCTTTAAATACTTACGTGCAAGTAATTTCATGAAAAAAGAAATTAAAAAACAACAATATAAGCAAGAAACTAAGTAATTTCTCACTTTCTTACATTTCTGTCTGCTTCTCATTGACAACAATAGTATTTTGTGTAGACCGAGTCCGATCTTAAAATCACACTATACAAGTTAAAAAAAAATACATTACAAAAAAATCAATTTGACAATTATATAAGAAATACTTTAAATTTTCAATTTTATTTTAAAGGTCAATATATTCTGCTCTCGATCATAAAAATCAAGCAATAATTTAAAATTAGATCGTATGCGTTTTGAATACGATTGCTTACAAAATTCTAGTAGATTCACATTCTCCACACCCCCTTTATAGAAATGAATAATGACACAGAAATAGAATTAAACTAAGAATTCTATCTCTATTCCTCACTGATTCTTATTTTTCTTTTCTAAATAAATTAATTGCTGGAGTATGCACTCAGTATACGTGAATTTGTGAAAATAACCGAATTTCTTTAAAATGAAAATTTAGTTACTCACTGGGTCAGTCAAAATAAAATCAAACTAACCTTTCTAACTTATGAAAACTAAATTACATACATGTAAATGTAAACAGAGGCCCATAGAACACGGAGGGTGTCCACTTTTGGGGCATAAATTTTGCTACATAATAGATCTTTCTTTACTAGATATGTTGTTCAGTGCCCTCGATCCTTCTCCCTTCCCACTTTTTGTTGCTGTAAGGTCGGGCACCGGCAAATATTCTAGGATTTGGACATTTTATAATTTTCCTTTGCTTGTCAGATTACTCTTGGAAGTTACCCCCTACTTTTTTTTTTGGGGGGGGGATACATTTAAATTTTGTTTGATTTCATTTTGCTTCTCAGGTAAAATTGGGGAACTTGCCCCCCCCCCCCCCCCACCCCTTTTTTAGCTCTTCTGAGCCAAAGGCTCAAAGAGCTAATGCTATGGCAATTTGTGCGGTGTGCGTAAACTTTTTAGAATATGGGCCGTAACTCAAGAACCTCTTGGCCAATCAGTACCAAATATGTCACAGGGTATCCTTCGCCTAAGGGCTACCATTCATAGTAAAATACGGGTTGAGACCCTTAAACAAGGGGAGATAATCAGGAAAACAAAACAAAAAGTACTGGTTGCTAAAAAATCTTATACTCCATAACCACCAGGCAGATTTTCACCAAACTTACATACAAGGATCAAGATATGTCGAAGATTAAAATTTGCACGGGGAATTACCCTGGGGCAAAGGGCGTGGTCTCAAGGTCACTTCAAAGTTGACCTAAATTTACAATTAATAAAAACGTGTATATTTTGCTTACTATAATGACTAGGATCATCAAATCTTGTAAGTTGATGCATCTTAGGACTTCACATCATGTTAACTCAAAAGCAGGTCACGGTGACCTACTTTTTAGCTCACCTGAGCCAAAGGCTCAAGTGAGCTTTTCTGATCAAAATTTGTCCGTTGTCTGTCGTTGTCGTTGTCGTCGTTGTAAACTTTTCACATTTTCATCTTCTTCTCAAGACAATTTCAATCAAACTTGCTACAAAGTATCTTTGGGTAAAGGGGATTCAAGTTTGTTCAAATGAAGGGTCACGCCCTTTTCAAAGGGGAGATAATTATGTATTAGAGAAAAATTAATGACATTTTTAAAAAATCTTCTTCTCAAGAACCACTGGGCCAGGAAAGATGAAACTCATGTGGAATCATCCTCAGGTAGTGTAGATTCAAATTTGTTCAAATCATGACCCCCGGGGGTAGGGTGGGGCCAAAATGGCCGATCAAAGTTTTACATAGGAATATATAGGAAAAATCTTTAAGATTCTTCTTCTCAAGAACCACTGGGCCAGGAAAGATAAAACTCATGTGGAATCATCCTCAGGTAGTGTAGATTCTAATTTGTTCAAATCATGACCCCCGGGGTAGGGTGGGGCCACAATGGCAGATCAAAGTTTTACATAGGAATATATAGGAAAAATCTTCTCATTGAGACATGAAAGATGAAACTCCTGTGGAATCATCCTCATGTAGTGTAGAATCAAGTTTTTTCAAATCATGACCCACGGGGCCTAGTGGCCGATCAAAGTTTTACATAGAATATATAGGGAAACCTTTTAAAATCTTCTTTTCAAGTACTTCATAGCCATGCTTAGTGATATTTATAGGGAATCATTCTCAGGTAGTGTAGATTCTAGTTTGTTTAAATCATGACCCCTGGGGGGGTTAAAATTCAAGCCCCCCCTCAGTAAACTTTCAGTTCTGATCTCATATGTGCTTTTTCGTAGCCAATTGCTCAGGTGAGCGATGTGGTCCCTGGGC